GTCGAAGCCGCACAGAGTTAAAGGGAAAACATACACACACATACCGACATAGACATCCATCCATGCATACAGACATACATACATGCAGAATCATGCAGACACACATCCAGACATACATGGGAAAAGTGTGTCATTAGCACCCTACCGGTTCGGCAGCACTCTCGGAGCCGGGAGGTTAACCGGGCTCAAGCGTGTCTCCATCTGGTTGTCTCGGTGCGTCTGTCTCGGTCTGTTTGTCTCGGTATGTCTATCTCCGGTCGGGCAGGACACACGGACGAACACACCCATGATGTCAATAATGCAGCTTCCCCAGTGCGCACATTCGTTTGCGATGTCGATAGAGCAATCTCTCCCTGCAGGCATAGCCGGCATCGCGAATGCCTGGTCTATTTAAATTTTAGTTAATCTTCCAAAGCACTGCAAAGCACAGCAATTCGTAACTCCGACGAGGCTCCCCCCAAGCTAAAGCTTATAAGACTTAATCTAGCAGATTTCTTACAATTGCACAGAGTCGCCACAACGCCCTCGGCACCTTCGGTGCGGTCGGGCTTCCCATATCTGCATATTGTCTGTTTTTTCCCCGATCACTATATACCTACTACCCAGTCAGTGGACAAGCTTTCATCGAAAGCACCCGCATTGAAGTCCAACCCTTGGAGTTCGTTCGCGGACTGAGCGACCGTCCATACGACGCAGACGAGCCGGCAGGTCTTGTCGGTGGATCGTGTTCGGGGCAGATACGAAATTCGCCTCCACGACGGTGTCTGGGATGGAACGTGCAAAGCCGGGGATGGAACGAAGATGTGGCGCAAGGAGGTGGTGAAAAACGTCGACGGAGCAGCGTTATTTTTCTTCCCGAGTGGCTTCCGGAGGGGGGTTCATGAGAGGTTTGATGAGGTTTAATGTATATTATTAGGGGAGGAGTTGTGGAAACCGTTTCAAGGGCTCAAGCTCAGTGGAGTTCGCAGACCCGGAGTTGACCTGGTGCCGCGCCCAGCAGGCACCCGGCCCTGCCGCATTGAAAGTCCAAGAGTTGTTGGGGTCAGAAATGGAGATGGGTCGGTCAACTTGGAGCCCCAACATACCCCAACATATAGCTTGGAAGCGTCCAGGTATGTTTTCTCCATGGGTCAAGGTACAGTCTCCTGGTGCCATGGCGGCTATGAGGCCGGTCAGATCTTCGAAGATATCCTTCCTCATAGCCATTGAAGGATCCTGTCTTAAATGGATACCTCTGGATCCTTCCTCTCTTCTATTAAGGGTTGAATCCTTCCCAGATCAACCTTCCCAGATGGAAGGATCACTTTTCTACTGGAAGTCATATCAACCTTCCCAGATGTCGACGACTCTGCGAACGTTCACCGGGGCGTGCACCGTACCCATTCTAGGTCAAGGGAGGGCTCGAAGAGCCCATACGGTCATTCGGGTGGAGGGAGAGAGTCCAGACGCCTCACCGTGGTTCCAGAGTTTTGGAGGTTCCGAAGCTCAGTTCTTTAAATTTTATGGATCCACATGGTAGAAGGTGATTGGAGAACACTTATGGCTCGATTATCTATACCAGCACCCGACTTCACAGGTCACCACCTACTTTTAAGCCAAAAGTCAGAGGAGACCTGTGAAGTCGGGTCCAGGTAGGGACATATTTCTGTTTTATTGCAAGGCCGCTGCAATCCCCTTGATTCAACCCTTGTGATCTGTCCGCGCTTCTGTCCGCACATGTTTGCACCACGTTGAAAGAATCCTATATAGACAGACCAATTCATATCCTCGGGACATGTGCGGACAGAACTGCGGATAGGCCCTGTATATATACCAGGACCTTCAAAGTGACCTTTTGAGATCCTAGAATGAGGTCACTTAGTCCCTAAAGTGGTCACTTAGAGACTCCAAAGAGGTCACTTTGAAGGTCCTGGTAGAATATATAGACGATTCCTATAGACCTTCCTTATCATTTCCTGTCTATAGACCTTCATCCTTCGGTTGACGCATATCCTATAGACCCCTTTGGTTCGATCCCGCAGAAAACCAGACCTGGCCGGATTTGGCTGGACTCCTCGGACCTGGCCATTTAGAGAACCTCTGAGCCGAGGCTCTGTGAAGACCATCCGAGCCGAGAACGTCAAGCTGCTCCACGTGAAGAGCCCCCGCCGGGGGACCGAAGAGCTCCACCGGGGGACCACGGAACCGGTCGGACCGCGGGATGCGCGGGATGCGCGGGTGAGGTCGTCAGGGTCAGAGGTCGTCAGGGTGGTGTTTTTTGGGTGAAGAACGCGGAAAGGTCAAGCTCTTAATTGGAGGTTTGGGCTCCCAAACAGGGCTCCAAAACAGGTTCTATAGGTTAAAACATGTATAGATAGTCTTGCAGAAGAGCTTGTCATGTTCCCTTTTTCTGAGCGACTGAGGTCCGAAACGCAAGGACAAGGGCCTCTAGCTGCTCTAGCTGCCGTGACTGCACGCGTGACTGCGCGCGTGGTTTGAAGGGTCCTGGCCAAGTGGTGTAGACTGGTGCAACCTAGTGATCCAGTAGTGCTAATGATAGTTCCTCCAAAGCAGCAACTCAGGGGGTACATTGATTCCTTTGGAATAAGAATACGATATATAATAAGCCAATGATGAATAAAACTATAGGGGATACATGTACATGATACGGGATTAATCCATAAGAGATAGTTTATAAGCCAAGGCCAATTATGAATATATATATAGGGGATTCATCAGAGCATTCCAGGCCCCTGGGCCGCTTTTTTCACGCGGGGTCTCACCGCCACAGTTTCACCGAATTCGGGGCTGAGCAACCTGGCGACTCCTTCCGTGTGGAGCAAGACCCTAGACACTGGACGGATGATCGGACGCTGCGGAACGTAGCGGAAAGAAAAAGGCTCCGACGTTGAATGGCTTGGTGGGAGGAACGTCAACCGGAAACCATGGTTTGCACCCCAAACCTATGGGTGCTGCAATTCCCCAAAACATCCTAAAGAGCTGCTGCTGCTTGCGTGAATCGTATTACCAGCAGAGTAAGTAGGCGCAGCTGAGAATGGAAGCATTGGTAATAAATGCATGAGATTGCATGAGAAAGCTCTATAGACTCAGATTGACCTCAGTCTAAGTGTCGTTCCATTTGCTTTGCAGGTTTCGCAGACTTTGCAGTGGAAACAATGTTCTGTCGTTATGAAGGGGATTCACATGGTACAGTGGTTTCCCCATACCTCAATCCAAGTACCTCCTCAGAAGGTATGACTGGACCCTCCTGGCACCCACCCCAGTCCCACCTTTGAAACGAAGGTACGACTGGAGGCCTAAGGTTTCAGAGGCTCGAAATGGCTCAGACCCCATGATGTCCTGAAATGATGGGGACGTGGATCCTTTATATAAACCACCGACCGACCTCGGGGTCGCTCGGGGCGCCATCGACCTTGGGGCCGATCCAGCCAGTATGAGGATCCTCCGTATGAGGGTCCGAAGCCCTTCATATATGAGGGTCCTGCAGCAGCGTTTTTGGGTAGATGATGTCCTATCGACATGTGAAGGTGAGTGACTTTCTATCGATGTCCTCTTTTTGGCCTTGTTGCTGAGGTTAAACAAACGGGTGGTGTCACACAAATTTGGGTCAGGTTTGGCATTCAAGTTGCCGACATCGGTTTCACGGCTTCATAGAGATCATTTGATCATTTGAGAATACATATATATAATATATGTCCTTTTTCCTTGATACTTTGAGGTACCGTCTTCAGACTTTCCCGAGATCCCTGCATGTGTCAGCTTTTGGGGTACTCTCCCGCGGAGAGATACTGCCCGAGTCGCCCTAAGCATCCCTGGAGACGTCACGCATGTGGATTGTTGGTGAGGACTTTCTATTGAGACAGGCTTCAGCAAAGGCAAAAGCCTTACTTGTGCTAGCTAGTCGTAGTGATGTTAGCTTGATTGTCAGCAGCGCTCGAATGGACAAGTGCTAGATTCTTCTTCCAGCAGCTTCGCTGATGGGTCCAGTGACAAGCTTACAGATGGATGTGGCACTGCCAACAAAAAGAACGCAAAATACATCAGAATCATTCAGAATATTCAGAATATATCATATACCTGGATCTTCATAAGTATGGTTTTTTCTGCCTTTTCAATAAAAACTGTTTTTTCAAGCAAACGCCAACTATTTTGTACTGAAACAACTTTTGAATTGACATGTTTTCTATCTTAAGTCTCATTTTTGAAACGGCGACTTTCCCCGACCAAACGGCGACTTTTGCTAACTGCTAATTTGGCAACCTCTGTAAAAAACATCGAAGAACACTTTTGAAATGAAACAGTTTTGACGGCAAACGACTGAATGTTGTTCGCCAAACGGCAGAAAAAAACACACCCGTGGAAGGTCCAGGTATACTAGAATTAACACAAAAAAAGACACGAAGGTCCCTCAGAATGTCAGCTCTATATGCAGAATCATTGCGAATCTTCGTGTACCCTACAGTTACATATGTCGACCAGTCCCCTCAGACCGGCGTGAAGCTGTGGTCCGGTCGTTGTTCTTCTCTCTTAGGGGTCCAGGGTCAACAAGACGACCAGTCCGCTCTCTTGGCCTCGGATGGAGAGGGAGGCCTCTCTTTGTGTTTGGAGGTCCACCTTGACGAACAGGAACTCACATGGGTCATGGACCAGTGGACCATGTGTGCTCCGGACAGGTAGACAGACGGTCCTGGGATCCTTCACAAATTCCAGACACGACCCATGGGTCTGTCATATATGCCGATCAGGCCAGGGCTGGTTTGAGGGGTCAATGTATATAGGCATATATGGCAGACCCAGACCCAGACAGGTCGTGTCTGGGAATCGTTCACGAAATGAACGCACATGAGACGACCATGTGATCTGTTAGAAGTGAACAAACGCTCACATCACTTGGCCGGACTCCCCTGGTTTGACCCACCTGGTGACACCATGTCGACCGGCCTGTCAGGAGACCTAGGCGCCCCCCCACGCTTCGGCCACCGAGCCTCGCCGCGATTCAGGACTCGTTGGGTGGCACGGCCAAGACCCTGATGTTCGTGAACTGCTCCCCTGCGAGGCCCGTGATGCTCTCGTTTGACCCGGTGCGGAGCGGAGCTTCGCGGCGGCGGTTCGTGAGTAAACGAAGGCGGTGAGGCGACGTCGACAGTGAAACGAAGGGTGGAGGTCCACACCCCACGGAAGGTCGAGTCCATGGACCAGGTGTCACAGAGCTCGGGGTGGTTTGGTTCGTCCCATCCAGGGGCCGTGGATGTGACAGGGGCACCCCGACATCCTCCGTTCGTGACCGGTACCCCGTCTGGTGACTCCTGGGAGAGGTCGCGCTTCGTTTTGTTTTGACTCACGCCCGCACGGCGAAGAAATCTGGTCGAACTGCGCCAGAGAAAAATGGCGACAGCGACGCAAGTGGAGCAGGAATTTGGTTTGAATCAGTACATGAATTATCATGGATTTACACCAACACTGCCAACACTACATGTATGGCATATACTACATTGACCCTGGAAGTCCCAGACCGATTTTAAATGTTGATTTGGTTTGTAAAACCATTCGTAAAACAATGGTTGTTCGGGATTCAGGCTATTGAATATTATATAAATGGTAGTTCGACTTCTATGGTTGACCCCTGAAACATTCTGAAACCATCCGAAGGGAAGTTGACATCTTCCAAAACACCTGGAGCTCGTCCTAAAATTCTTCTGAGCGTTTCACTCAACACCCCATCCCTCCTGGATCATCTGAAGACCACACTGTGCCGTGAAGCGCTCCGTTCAAAGACACTGGCCGTCGCCGTGACGGCGTCAAGCCGTCAAGTCGCCGGTCCGTGCATGTGCAATTTGCACGAGACGTGTCTTGGCGCGATTCGGAAAGTGTGGGGGTAATGGCCTCTTGGGCTTCGAAAGGCATCAGTGATGGCTGATGGTGCGGAACATGGAGATATATCGGCATGCTGTATACCTGTACATACCTGTACCACTCGACATACTGGGTATGTCTATATTGTGTTTATGTGAGGTGTGAGGGAAGGTGATGTGCTCAGATGGTTGGTGGATTCATTGTGTGATTCTGTGGGTGTTGGCACAGAATCGTCCGTGGATATCGGGATGCCACAGTATGCCACAGTCGTTTGAGAAACAAATGCCACTGAAGTGAAGACACTCTAAGATAAACTCTTGGACTTTGACTCACCCAGACACTCCATGTATGGAATATATGCCGCCCCATTGACCCCTCATGGCCCACCCCAACTGATCGGCAAATATGGCAGTCCCATGGATTGTATGGGTCATGGTATTTGCGGTGCGTTTGGGTGCTTTCAGATCGGCCCAAGCTGGGAGGTATGAGGTGATCACGACTTCGGCCCTTTCGCCATGTTAGTATTGTGGATCTTGTGGGCCTGTGGGCCACCTCTGGAATGGTTGGAAGAAGTATACCTACCCTGGAAAAAGTGGATCACCTGTAGAACTGTAGAACCTGTAATTGGCGATGATTTTCACCCCATGCAAACCTAACAGATGGAAAGTTGGGTGAACTCTTGATTGTCCAGCGAAACTGAGGGGGGTCAGCAGAATGCAAGTGGACTTGTATAGATTCTTGGCACAGCTGTCGGGAACCCCTTTTCTCTCAACATGGGAAGATTGCCCCTTTTTTCAGCTGAGCAAAGATGGGAAACTATTGTCGTTGGCATAGTGGGGTGTTGTGATCATCCAACACATCCTTTTGGTGCGACTTTTCGTGTCACTCCCTTGCTTTTTGGCTGATCAAAAATTGCAAATCACCCGAAACAAAACAGCTACCTGGACCTGTGCTGTTTGGACCTGTGCTGTCTGGAGATCCCTAAGTAGTGAGCTGGGGCTTGGAAGCCAGATGACCCCGACATGAAGGTTCTGGTACCTTAGGCGCTGATGAATTTGGTTGGCTCTGTGTTGCTTATTCACTTTTTGTTGCACTATTCTGCAAGTCCCCAGTAGCAGCCAAACCCATGAAGCGCCAAGAAATGCATCAAGCGGCAGAAATGAGTTGACTTTCGGAAAACGACAAGAATTCTCCACACACCCTTATGTCCTATAGTTATACTATACTTGTTTGATGTTTGTATAAGGGGGCTGGATTTTGTGTATACGCATGGCTACTAGCAGTAGTTGTTTGCGTTGCTACAAAGGGCTTAATTACCAACCATTGGACCATTGATTCGCCCGCCCTTCGCTTCCCTCGTCCTTCGAATCGCGCCCTTCACCGCGCGTCGCGTCGGAGGGCCATGAGCCTCAACTACGCGCTGCGCGCCAAGCGGGTCGTCAACGCCGGGAGTCCCGGGCTGTCAGAGTCGGGGGGCCGTCCTTGGATCGGATCGGACGACATGGGGGGATGCCCCATGAACACATCCAAGAGGTGGAACACATACTGACATACCTGACCGGTGAAACTGGTCATTGTCAACCAAAAACGTGACGTGGCGACTGGGAGATGTAGAGAGATGTAGACGTCGCGAGACTTGAGGTGGTTGGCTCCAGGCGACAGCCAGGAGTCACAGAGCTCGGGGTGTTTTGGGCACCACCCCTAACCTCCAGTAAGCACCCCTTTGCGACTGCTGGAGAAGTCTTTTACCTGACCCTGGAATTCTAGTGATGTGATATCCATGTACAATCTGAGGCTTCAGCTGGTTTCATGAAAAGCAAATGGAACGGTTTGTTCTTTCAAAAGGGGGTCATGTTCCAAATGTTTGTGCCTTTGTGTTCCCACACAAAACCCGCAGCCACCAAAAACCCTGGAAAAGAACGCTGTAGAAGGTGTAGAATGCAACCAAACACAGTAAACAACCTGAAACAACAAACCATCAAAACGACATATGACGTGTTGCCGCTTTTGAGAGCTACTATATTATGTAAAGAGTTGAACTATAATTTGCACCCTACCTGTTTCAGGTTGAAACCATAGCATTCTGGTGCGGGGAAGAAACCTACAGAGACACAGACGAATGCAGTGCAGATATTGATGATATTTTTTGAGCCACCTGGGTAAAACGTGCGGTTGGCCACAGATACCTATCCAGTCAATGGAATATCCCTCTTTTGGTGGTTTAGGGACACCCCACGCGCAACATGCGGAAACATGTTTCTTGGGAAACTGAGGTAGTCAGGATTACAGTATAGTAATACTGACACACGAACGGTTCATCTTCTAAGTGCAAACAGTATGGAGTTGCAGGTAGTCAGGACACAGTACATCCTTTTTGGGGATTCATCGCTCGGGGGGGTTCAACCGCTCTGTGCCTCGCGGCACGCCTTCCACCTCACGCGGCACGCAGCACGCCTTCCACCTTCCACCTGAGGTGCCTCGAAAGGCGGCCGGTGGGGCGAAGGATGGCGGATGGGAACTGGAGCTGTCACTGAAAGAATCAGGGTGATGTGGAAGGCATGACTCCGGGTCGGACCAGGTTCCCAAGACGACCTGGTCAGCAGGGGGTGAAACTCCACGTTCCACATCTTTCCACCTGTGGCGATCCATTTGTTGAGGAGGTCCGGTCCTTTCTTTTGGTGCCTCGTGCGAGGACCATGCGAGGAGCATCTAACTATTTCCAGGAGTTGATTTTGCAGTTTGTACTAAGTTTCTCACACGTGTAAACAAGTTCTGACATAGACTTTGATGTCTGTTACGTGCAAGGCATGTCAAGAGTCACCAGCAATCAAGAACATTGGCTTTACTGTGTAAGTCTTGTTTATGTTTCTTTGATCCTCCCCTGCTTGGGCCTAAGGGTATGAGCGATTCCCAAAGCGTTGTTATGTCCATCTTGCCACGTTGCCGTCATTGTGTTGTCGGAGTCCATTGAGTCCCGAATTCCCTCAACGTCGTCAACCGCCGCCTTTTTTGAATTGATCCAGGCAAACCACTAAAATAGTAACCAGACGCGACCCATGGGACTGCCAGGACGGCCGAGAAATGGCCAGGGGTGGGCCATGGGGGTTTCAATGGAGGCATATATTGTAGTCCCATGGAGTGTCTGGGGTAGGTCACCAATGGTTCCAATCACTAAAGACTGTGGAACCGGCCGATGGAAGCCGCTGATCATGGGGATGAGCCAACCTGAAGCTCGACCAGCCCAGCTAGGTCAACGGGTCGTTCTTCGGTTTTGACCGGTTTTATTTGGGAGTTCTTGAGCTGACCATCCCAACTCAATGAACCCACATCAAGGACCTTGTCCCAAAAACGATTCGCCAAACGCTATAACTATATCTGGAATCCCATTATCGTGCCTTCTTATATGTTGCAAATCAGTCACGCTTCTAGACAGATCGTGCAATTTCTTGCAGGAATGACCAACACATACCAAAACAGGCCAGAATTTCTCGGTGTCGTCAAAGAATATGCTGCACGCGTATCACATCCCCACGAGCCGCCACACCTGTCTTAGCCCCTAGGGCTCCTGGCCCATCTCCTCAGGTTCGACCCCCCGTGGCACCCACCACCCACCCCAGTCCCACCTTCTGAGGAGGTAGTTGGAGCCCTAGGGACCATTCCTTCTGACATCATTTCAACTTCCCATCCCCACGACCATCCATTCGACGGCGCATGGGTCTTCCTCGACGGCGCTCAGCTCCTACTTACCGGTTACCATACTATGACTCTTCGAAGCCCGGTTTAGGCCAAAGAGTACCGTACGGTCTGCGTGTGAGTCGGACAGTCGTTGCCTTTTTTTGGGGGGGGTGAGGAGGGGGTCATGCCATGCACGTAACATCACCTAACCTTGAGGATTGAGGGAGCTGTCCCACGGTAGTTGGAGTCACCACGGCGCGGGAGTCACCGGCGGATGCACCAGTGCCCCGAACGAGGTCTGGGCCTCTCGATAAGGCAGTGGTCGTGTGGGCGTTAGCGAGCGTGTTTTCAGGCGGAGGTAGATGGGTTGATGTATAAGAAGAACAAAAGCACCCATACCAAAACTTGTAGTAGGCTTTCCTGGTTTGTAGTGCAAGATCCTTAGAACAATAATCAATGGTCGTTTGGTAAAGATTAAGTCTAATAACGCCTGGACCTCCCAACTGCCCAACTACCATAAATTTATGATCGGTTTGGCTTTATGGTCGTTTTTGTCGTCTTTTGGTTAAGAGCGAAGCCGACCTGGTGCCCTTGATCAGCGGCAAGGCCTCGTCACTTCGTCACCCCCAGCGGCGGAAGACAAGGGCTGCGATAAGCTCCCCGCAGTGCAAACTAAGGCGAAGCAGAAAGAACGAGCAGACCCCCAAAAACAAAAAACCACTTCAACCTCTGCAACGCGAGCAACGCAGGTTTGTTGTGGGAGCTCAACCGGAGAGGCTTCACTTTCATCAGGCCGTGGAGGTCCTGGATCTTCGACCGCGAGAGCCCGCGCTGGTGCTGGGCAAAGTGGGGATCGCCTAGTGCAAAGATGCCAACGTCCAGCCTCATCCCGGTCAACAATCTTGACATTGATCTCTGGCTTCGAACTGTTTGACAGAGGATTGCACAAGGATTGGAATGGAGGAGAAGGAATCGACAAGAGCTGAAGGATTTGAAAGATCAGGGATTGAGAGAAGTTTTACGTCCAGATGACCAAACAGCAACATGGAGGGCTTGTAACAAAGGGTTGCACGTCTAGCTTTCTTTCCTTTTCTGTGCACTTCATGTAAGGTCATGTTCACTTGCTTGGCTATTTCATTGGAACCAGTGGGGTTGCAGCTGAATGGAGTGCATGTTTCGGCAACCTTAACAGGGGTAGACTCTCTTCATGGGAGCTCAAGCTTCTCCCTGCCACAGCAATTGGCGACTTAGCTCAGGTTTTGTGCTCGTATGCTCAAGGTTTTCCGCATTGGTTCATGCAATCCCAAGCTGTCCCTTTGCCCAAGGTCTGGGGGGATGTTCGTCCGGATGCAAGACCGATCACCATTCTAGCCCAAACATTTAGACTCTGGTCTAAGCTCATCAATCAGCAAATTCAAGAAGCTTTCTCCTCCCGGTGCCCTGAAGACGTGACCGGGTTCCTCAGAAGCCGAGATGCCAGAAACTCCATCTACAAAGCACAATGGCGTTTTGAGAAAGCCAGACACTCTGGTATGCCACTGTCCGGGGTTACCCTTGATCTGCCGACATGCTTTAATCCAATTAATCGACCCAGAGTTACCCAACTCCTGATTGTATTTGGTGTGCCATCTCACCTCGTCAGCCAATGGAAATCGTCATTTGATTCCCTGTCCCGTTTTTGGGTTCGAGGTTGCATTTCACCGCAGATCTCAAGCTGCACAGGTTTACTCCTTCAGCATGGCTTTGGTCATTTGAGATGCGAGACTCCTGTCATCTCGTTCCTGATCTCGAGCTCCACTTGGGAGCCTATGCAGACAACTGGGCTTGGCAGGCATCCCAGTTCCAGGTGTACCTTCGACTTTGCCTACTCACCAACAAAGTTTGTCAGCTGCTTGGTTTACAAATTGATTACGGCAAAACATGGTTCTGGGCCACGACTACCTCCATTGCCCAGCAACTTTCAGACATGCTGGCCGCTGAGGACAAACTTTGTTACTCAAGCGGGTTCCCAAAGCCCAAGATCTCGGATGTGCCATGCAGTATTCTGGTCTTTCGCATGCGTCCATTACCGGAGCCCGAATGCTTGAGGTGGGTCAACGCCTTCAGAGATTGCAGTAGGCCCCAATTTGAGCTCAAAGACAAAGTTTACATGGTTCGCTCTTCCGTCTTTCCAACGGTCTTCTATGGGTGTGAGATAGGCCTTGCTTCCCAGCAGCAGCTGGGCCAAGTTCGAAACCATTCTTCGCAAAGTACCGAGCATGAACTCACCGAGCTGAACAGCTTGACTTCCTGGCATGTGCGGCCCGCAATTCAGGAGCCTCTCAGGCAGTGAAAGGCCGATGCCAAGGGGCAACTGATCACTGAACATTTGGTCCCTCTGTCTCTCTTGTGTGGTTCGTTCCAAACCATCCGCAGATTTGTCACCATGACCTGGCAGACAGGTTTCCTTGTGCACCACATCCAGCGCAAAGCGCTTCGAAATTTCCCTGACATTTCGTTTAAACAATTCCCAGGTCATACTCATCTCCGCCTGGTGAGACAACTCGCGGGAGGCTTTCAAACAAGGCACCAACAGCGTGCATGGGATGCCGAAACGGATGAACTATGCCCACCTTGCAACGGTGTTGACTCACGCAGACATCGCATCCTGGAGTGTTCGGGAGTGTTTGGCCACCAAACATGTCAGGGAACAGCGTGCCGAACACTGCAACTTTACCATGTCTTTTGCGTTTCGCCTGGGCTCCTGGCCCTACTACTGGAGCAAGGACGCTACTAGGAGCAAAGGGCATTTCTACTAGGAGCAAAGACGCTACTAGGGCTCCTGGCCGTACTACTAGGAGCAAAGACGCTACTAGGGGCTCTTGGCCGTACTACTAGGAGCAAGGACGCTACTAGGAGCAAAGGCATTTCTACTAGGAGCAAAGACGCTACTGGGGTGATTTTGGATTTCTGAACGTAGGTGGCAACGCAATGGCCAACGATCAGGCCATCCAATTCTGTTCGAACCGCAGTGCACCCATAGTGGCAGACCTGCAAATGGAACGGCAGCAGCTTGTTGCCCAACATACTTCACAGGGGGTGGAGCCTGTCCCGGACAACCTCTGTGGGAATCTTCTTGCCTGGCACCCCTCTCCCATCTTCCTTCCTCCATATGAAGGAAGGGAGGGATGGAGTGCGTGCTCTTGGGGATTGGATCGTGCATGCTCAGTTCGGATCTGGGCACGAAAGGTAAATTGGCCACAACCGGCTGAAAGGTCTCCCAAGGACACTTTTGGCATCACGTGGCTTGAACTTGTAATGTCTTTTTTCTTGGACCAACAAAAGCTTGTAGGAGTCGTGATTCCCTTTCAGGAAGGTAAGGTGCTCTTTACCCCTCGTTCGTGGCATGAGGTGACACAGTATCAAATCACGTTTCAGTTCAGCTACTGTGGGCGTTTGCTCAGTTGTTCGAACATGTGCAGCAATTGTCAGAAACACAACGTTGGCCACCAGTCGCCAGAGGCATGACACGCAGGCCCATGGATTCAAGAGTAGACCAGAATTCCACACCAAGAGATTGTTTTACCGTATTACCACTCAAACCATACCACGAATGCATTGCTGGGTGCCCCAAACTACCAGGTGTTTTTGGTCGTCGGAAGATCTGGGGTACGCTTTAGAGGTTCACCGGTGTCGATGAACCACCAGACGGTCCATGGTATTCCCCTGAAGCACGGAATCTGAGCGGAATCGTGCATTTATAGGACCTTGAAGGCAGCCACGATCTGCCACTTAAAGTTAGCTTTTATTTGGGGAAACACTCCGGTGCAAGTTCGTTCAGCTGGTGCGTGCGCTCGGTTGTTTTTCTTCCGCCGTCGGCCGTGCGGCGATCGAAGATTCCTCCAAGTTCCATTCCAGACTTGGGCGATTGGAGGGACAAAATGACCCTCCAGGTCCAGTCTGACCCTGTGGAAACCCAATAGGTCCAGTCTGACTCAGTAACATTTGCATGGTCATTTACCTCATTGAGTAGTGTTTCTTTTTGTGATCAACTGTAAGTTTAAAAACCAGTCTTTGACCTGTAGGTATAGTGCAAGGCCTCTTGGAATTGAAAACCACCTTTGACACCTGGCCAGGTGCCGAATGACCTGCCGCGCGCGAGTCCGTCACGCGCAGAGCGCGTGGTTTTTTGGAGCGTGCCTGGTGTATCCTGTGAATGTAACGGATGTTTTGTGTCTGAAAAAAACCTCATGAAGATGACGAGAGGAACTTGGATGTATGAGAAATGTTTGATTTCAGAGGCAAGTGGCCACTCTTCTTCAAATGGAGACACCTCCCATAACTGGATACTTCTCCAGTCAATTGTATGACAGGGAAAGTGGAGGACAAATCCAGTAGAACCTGATCCTGAACACCTCATTAATGAGTGTTTTTGATGAACTTCAGTACAATGAGGACCTGTAGGCATGAGTCTCCTTTCCATCCACTTCACAGCGCGATTTGCCGGTCGTGCGGCAAATCGCATAAATACCGGAACTTTGAGCCGCTTCAGACGACTGGAAGGGACCCAACATAGACCTCAACATACAGGTACCTTAAGCCCATAGACCGTCTACATGGTCTCTCTTTGGGTTTGTGCCAGCTATCACCTGTAGAGCCATCGGGAAACAAGAGCATCACTATTTCAGAGATGGGAAGGCCTTTGCCTTTAACTTTAAAGAACCAACATCTATCCGGAGTCTTAGTGACTAAAAAACATCTCCATGAGACAGTCAGGGAACCTGAGAGATCAGGAACTCAAATCCTAAGCTACCCATAGAAACACACAGAAACATATCATTCGAGTCGAAGCAGTTGAAGCAGTGATGCACACCAGTTTGCAACAGATCCAGACAAACATGACAGGATGCGAATCCGCTGATTTTTTGCAAGCGCTATAGTCTACCCAGCCGAGCGCTTTTGTTGCGCGTCCAAGGTCGCGCGTTTGGGGCTCGACGCGGGAAAGAGGTGCGTGTTTGTTCCTGGGGCTCCTCCCGTTCAATGTGTCATGAAAGACGATGTGAGGACAAGGGGTCTCTAAGAAGGAACACAAAGACACCTGCCTGACAGGAATTTGATCAATGATCTCTGAATAGTTGCGGAGACGAGAAGACGCAGCAGGATCCACATGGTGCTTTTTTGGAGGATGTCCATCAATACATTCCGTGATGTATCACGGATACTTATCAATCAAGTGATATATATATATATACATGATCAAGTGCAATACGAAGATGTCCATGAAATGTATCAAACATAATTATGTGACATAATCTATGTTTCCAGACATTTCCAC